GTAGAGACGGGATTTCACCATGTTGGTCAGGCTGGTCTTGAACTCCTGACTTCAAATGATCCACCCGCCTTGGCCTCCCAAAGTGCTGGGATTACAGGCGTGAACCACTGTACCCCGCCATCTCCCAGATACGTTAAATCATCTCTAGATTACTTATAATACCTAATACAATGTAAATACTATGTAAGTAGTTGTTATACTTTATTATTTGAATTTTTTCCCCCCAAATATTCTCAATTGCAGCTGGTTGAATCCATGGATGCAGAATCCGTGAAGGGCCAACAGTACTACCCCACTTTTTTTTTTTTTTTTTTTGAGGGGGGATTCCTCTTTTACCCCGGCTGGAGTGCAGTGGTGCCATCCGGCTCACTGCAACCTCCGCCTCCTGGGTTCAAGCAATTCTCCTACCTCAGCCTCCTGAGTAGCTGGGACTACAGGCGCCAGCCACCATGCCCAACTAATATATATATACATATTTTAAATATATATACATAGTTTTAAATAATATATATACATATTTTATATATTTATATATTTTATAAGAGTTTTGCTCTTGTTGCCCAGGCTGGAGTGCAGTGGCATGATCTTGGCTCACTGCAACCTCCACCTCCAGGGTTCAAGGGATTCTCCTGCCTCAGCCTCCCAAGTAGCTAGGATTATAGGGCATGTGCCACCATGCCCGGCTAATTTTGTATTTTATTTTTATTTTTAATAGATACAGGGTTTCACTGTGTTAGCCAGGATAGTCTCGATTTCCTGACCTTGTTATCTGCCCGCCTCGGCCTCCCAAAGTGTTGGGATTACAGGCGTGAGCCACCTCGTCCAGCTAATTTTGTATTTTTAATAGAACGGATTTCTCCATGTTGGTCAAGGTGGTTTCAAACTCCTGACCTCAGGTGATCCGCCTGCCTTGGCCTCTTAAAGTGCTGGGATTACAAGCGTAAGCCACGGTGCCTGGCCAGTACTACACCATTTTATATCAGGAACTTGTGCATCCAAGAATTTTGGTTTCCATGTGGGTCCTGGAACCAATCCCCAGAAAATATGGAGGGATGGCTGTAACATCCATTTCCTGCTAGGGCACCGATGAATACAGGAAAAGTCCTATAATAATAACCCCGGAATTCTCTTGGCGCTGACCCTCTCAGAGTTTGTGGGTCAAACCAGCTCCATACTCCGGTCCCAGGCTGGGCAATGGAGATGCTTTCCTGGAGAGCCCAGGTCGAAGGGTGCCTGGGGTGCGCGCCAATGCCCTACTGCCCTCTGGTGGTCAGCTCCAGGAACTGTATCTCAGGACTACAACCTCTCTGAACCAAGCCCACTAGCAATCCTTAAAATGCTTGAAAGCGGAAGTATTTCAGATTTTGGAATATTTGCATATATATAATGAGATATCTTGGGGACAGAATCCAAGTCTAAACACGAAATTCACTTATGTTTCATATACAGTTTATACACATAGCCTGAAGGTAACTCTATGTATTTTTATTTTTTTTGAGACGGAGTCTGGCTCTGTTGCCCAGGCTGGAGTGCAGTGGTGCAATCTCGGCTCACTGCAACCTCCGCCTCCTGGGTTCAAGTTATTCTCCCTGCCTCAGCCTCCTGAGTAGCTGGGATTATACACATGTGCCACCACACCCAGCTAATTTTTGTATTTTTAGTAGAGATGGGGTTTTGCCATGTTGGCCAGGCTGACCTTGAACTCCTGACCTCAGGTGGTCCGCCTGCCTCAGCCTCCCAAAGTGCTGGGATTACAGGCATGAGCCACTGTGACCAGCCCAATTTTATATATTTTAAATAATTTTGTGCAGCCTGTCTCATGAAGTCAGGTGTGAATTCTCCATTCGTGGCAGTGTTGGGTTTTCTGATTAGGGATGCTCAGTCTGTACACACCTGAGCTTATCTCACAGTGTGGGGGCACTGTCCCGTTTACAGGTAAGAACTTAAGGCCTTCAGTGACTTCCCATAGTTAAGACCAAAATCTTAACTGCAGAGCATGAGGCCCCATCCTTGCCTCCCCTGCTGTCACTCTGACCCAGCCACCTGGCTTTTTCTCAGGTCCCAGTGTTCGTGGGCACAGCTGTCAGTTAGAATGTTTGGGTACTTTCTGAGTCCTTCTCCACCTGGATGCCTCAGCTCCTTCTTCAGTCCCCTCCTGGGATATCACTCGCTCAGGACTCAGGAGGGTCCTCCTCGCCGCCCCTCCCTACCCTCTCTTATTCACCTCTTGCAAACATGGGGCACTGGTTGGTGCCGCTGTCACCCATGGAGCAGGGCATGTCCTGCTTAGCTCGTCGCCGCAGGCCTGGCATGTGGGAACCACCACCTGAGCCACTGACAGTCATGAAGTGTTTCTGTGCCAGCCTCTGAACTAAGTACTTCAGGCCCACAGGCCAATCTCCCTCCTGAAGACCCTTGTCCCCAGGAAGCAGCCCTGGACTCTACCAAAAACTCACATTGATTTATTAGAATATGAAAAAGATTCAGTTTCTTCTGTACAGGCGGCAGAGTGGCAGCAGCTGCGGTGGCTTGGTACATGGTTGCCGACGTCACCCTTGCATGGTGACTCCTGCCCAAACAGCACTTGCATGGAGAGGAGGATGGACAGATGGGCCGAGGACCCACGGCCCAGTCCCCTGCAAAGAGGGACACTCTGACTATTGCACGATCCTGGGGGAGTGCCCTGGGGACAGGGGAAAGGAGTGTGTGTGAGCAAAGGCCTCTTGGGGGCCCAGGATTCTGCCCAGCCCACCAGCCCTGGGGGACAGGAGATCCTCAGGGGAGGCCTTCTCCACCCTCCCCCACCCCCAACTCCACAGTGGGCTCCACAGCAGGCGGGGTGTGGTACACACGAGGGGTGCTTTCCAGGGGCCAAACCCAGGGTGGGGGAAGTAAGAGCAGGCCAGCAGGACTGAAGGTCAGGCCCAAGAGCTAGGCAGGTGCCAAGAGGCCCAGCATCTGTGAGGTTGGAGAGACTCTTGATTAGGAGTGGGAGTCACTTCTGATGTCAGAGCCTTCAGGCCACAGTCAAGAGCCCAGCAGGCTCTTGAGAAACGTGGGGGGGGCGGGGTTGGACAGACAGGCACAGATGAGGAGGGGTCATTCCTGGAGTGTGAGAGGGGAGTTAAGAGGGCAGAGCACTGTTCAGCCAGCAGTTTTCAAAACGTTTTAAAAATAGGAGTGCCCTCTGTGCAAAAACAATCATATATATGGAAGTATGAACAAACGAAACTTAAAAAAGGCAGCACATTCTGGAGCCACAGCCAGTCCTTCCCCAGCAGCATCCCCTGAGGGCCAGTGGTCCCCGTGGGAGCACAGTTTGGAAAGCTCTGAGTCACGTCACTGTCACCGTAGAAACCACCCCTGCTCCAGGCAGAGACACTCAGAGATGCCCTCAGCCCACAGCTCTGAGTAAGGACAGGTCGAGGTGGTGGCCAGGGTGACAGAGCTGGCAGGAGGAGTGTGAGATCTTGGTGGGCCAGCAGTCCCTCCCCCAGCCAGATGCCTGGTACCCCTGGTGTGTCCCCTGATAAAGCAGGGCCTGCTTGAGGGAGGCCTCAGCTCCCTCCCTTCCTGGGTGGGACCACAGCTGAGCCAGAGACTCTTTGGTTGGAAACTAGGATTGGTCTGAACGAGGAGGGGGATGGCAGAGGGAAGAGCCTCCGAGGCCCTAGTCCAGGTCCTGGAAAAGCCTGGATCTAGGGGAGGGCAGGACCGGCCTCACCAGCCCGAGCAATTCTGCCACATGGATTGGGGAGGCAGTTCTGGTGTGGAGGAGGCTTCCCAGGAGGTGGGGGAGGGAGAAGCTGTTCTGGGGTGGGGGCTGTGGGCCCAGCTGCCATGCGGTAGGGGGAGGGGAAGGGCCCATCTGGGTCAGGAACGGCAAGGGGAGCCCCCAGCAGCCCCTGCTCTGGTGGGAAAGTCTGTGAGGGGACGGGCACTGCCTGCTGGCCCTGGTGCTACTGCCCCTTGGGGATGAACGGTTCTCCCTCCCCAGGCTCAGGGTGTGGGCCTGGGTCACTGAGGCAGCGCTGTATCCTCTGGGAGCTGGGGCTGTCACTGGGCCCGGGGGTGAAGACATCGTCGGTTCCTGGGGACGAAGTCTCCTTGCTCCGCATCACAATGCCCCCATCGTCATCCTCATCCTCCTCGGCCACCTTCGCAGGATCCCGGCTCAACCCCAAGACCTTGCCCTTCAGCTCTTCATTCACCAGGTCCACAGACTCGGGTGACTGTGGAGAGGCCGGGTCAATGGTAATGACAGGCAAGTCCTCCTTCGGCTCATAGGCCAGCGGGTCTGGGGACCAAGAGTAAGGCACAGGCTGGGTTCGGCTCCGGGGCCAGGCCAGGCATGTGTCACTCAGCTGCGTCAGCGCCTCCTGCAGGCCCCCTCACCAGTGCAGCTGGCCTGGTCCTGACTGGCCTCAGAAGCAGGCCTCTGTGACCCTCTAGCCCACAGCGTCTCTTCCTCAGACTGTGGCCCTCTCCTCTGCCAGGGGCTCCCAGAGGTGTCCCTCCATAGGCCAAACCTGGGGCTTCCCCAAGTCACAGTCTGCCCTGGGGCCCTGCCCTCGCCTTCCCCACACGTTGGGATCCCCATGGGGCAGACACCCTGCCTTTCGGACAGGCCCCCTGTCTCTCCCAGCTCCTTGCACCATCCTCACCCAAGAGTCTCTCTCCCTAGGGATGGCCCCTGACCTGGAAGCAGCTCATGGCTTGGGAGGGGCCCCTGGGGTCAGCGAGGGCGAGGCCTGTCCTCCAGGTGGTGGAGGCCTGTGCCCATCCTCAGGAGGCAGTGGTTTGGAGGCCTTACCTGAGCCGATGCGGGCCCGGGACATGGTGGGAGAGTCCAGCTTGTGGGCCGGCACTGTCAGGTAGTTGTTGATCTGAAAAGAGAGGATACGTGGGGTGAGCACAGGCAGCTGGGCAAGAGGGAGCCCCTCAGGACAGCACCCGGTCCTGCACACCCCACCTTCCGTGGGTGCGGGCACTCGCTCCCCCTCCCTTGTGCCTGTGCCTTAAACAGGCACCTACACTGCCCAGCCCTAAACCCACCCATTCCTGTCCCTGCCACCGCCCTAACCCAACCACGCCTCCCACCTCCATGCCAGTCCCTTGCTTAGAACTCTTCATGGCTCTCCACGCTCTTACACTGCCAACAAGCCCCTCGAAAGCCAAACCCTGTTTCTAGAATGGGCGCAGTTCCTCAGAGGGCCGTGGTGGAGTCTGGGTGAGTGGGAGGGATACAGATTCCCGGAGACAGGCAGTGGCTACCTTCTGCTCCAGCTGCCGGGCCTTCTGCCTCCGGAGCAGCATCTGGTTCCAGGCTTCTTCGTAGGGGTCTGCCACCAGCGTGTGTCTGTTGTAGGACCGCAGCTGTGGGTAGGACAGCGTCAGGGCAGGGCAGCCTGGAAGGCTCTGGTCATGGAGGGGTGGGGGCAGTGTGGAGGCCAGGCCAGCCCCAGGGTTGGTGCCGAGGCACAGGGCAGGGCAGGGCCGTGGGGAGAGGGCCAGGCTGGGGAGCAGGTCCTCACCCGCTGCCTGGTCTTCTGTAAGTTGTTCCTCAGGATTTTGCGGATCTCCTCCTCCTTGTCCTTGGACAGCGCGGGCAGGATGCGCTCGGAAGGCAGCGACTTGGGGTGGATGTTCCTGGGGCAACAGGGCAGACGTTAGGTCCCCAAGACTCCTGGGATCCTGGATCCTTCCAGGCTGGGGCAGAAGGAGGTCACCCTGGGGATGATCCAGGTGGGCACCAAAGCCTCAGGTCCTTGGTGTGAGCCTACAGCTCTCTTCTCCACCCCAACAGGACAACAGAGGGCCCCGCCCCCAGCTGGGCTTGCCGGCTGGTGTGTGGGAGAGAAGGCCCCTGCGTGGCCCCGGCACTCACTGCATGGAGACGGTGGAGACAGCAGAGGGGATCTTGCCCATGCCCCCGCTCTCCACCAGCTCGATGGCCTGCTTCATCTCCATCTTGTGGTAGAAGGCAATGAGCTGGGGCTCCTTGGAGCGCTCGCCGGCTATCAGACACTTCTTCACGTATTTCTTATTAAACCGGTTGAGCCTGGTGAGAGGAGGAGGGAGATGGATGGAGCCAGCTCCCAGGAGTGGGGAGATGCCCAGGCCCGGGAGACCCTTGCCTGCCCCTCCCTGCCTGCCCACCAGGCCTGCCACCTACTTGTCCTTCCAGTGGTGGTGACCGTAGTGGCCACAGATGTCCTCGATGCCTGTCAGAAGGTGGTCCAGGAACTGAAAGGGGCCCAGGGCCAGGTCAAGCCTCGCTGTGGGGCGCCTTCCCTACCAAGACCTCTGACTAGCCCTGCTTCCTCCCTGAGCTGCAGCCCTGCTTGGTCCAGCCCTGTGGTTCCATGAGCAGCCAGGAGGTGGCGCCCACACCTCACTCATCGAACCCAGTGGCCCTGACTTGGTATCTCGAACCTTCACCTCTGTCTGGCTGAGCCCCCTTCTCTAATCCCACCTGGGACCCATGCCTGGCATAGGTTTCAAATGGAGGCAGAGATGCCATGATGCACCCTCCTCAGGCTCCCAGCTGCTCACACCACACCTTCCTATGGCTAGACCCTGGTGGCCTCCTGAGCAGAGGGAGCCCCTGGGCACCAACACAGGGAGGAGGGGCTGATGGGGGGCAGGGACCTGAGGCACAGCTGCTCCCCAGCTCCCTGCTCCTTCTCCTGCAACCAAGGGCCCTGCCTGCACTCCAGTACCTGTGTGTGGATCTCCTCGTTGATGGAGCGTTTTGTCTCTTGCTTTTTCTTCACAGCCAACAGGTCTACCAGGGGCCGAATGGTCATGCCCTATTGAGGGCAGGCAGGTGTCAGGCACTCCAGTTCTGCTACCCAGGCAGGGAGGCCGCAGAGCCTCCCTCCTGCACCCCAGGCCCCCAGGGCTAGGATGCCCTCTCTGCTTTGCCCTCTCCCAGGACCCAAGGGTGTGAGAACTCCCCCACCTCCCAGCACTTATCTAAAGAACCCTGCCTTCCTGCCAGGCCCCCGTCTCTCCCAGCTCCTTGCAGGGTCCTCACCCATGCAAGGTGAGGTCCTTAAGGCCTGCCTCTTCCTGGAGACATGGCCAGAGGTTTGATCACCAAATGACCCCCACGCTGGTCATCTGGCCTGGGCCAGGTGGCAGAGAACCTGGGTTCAGATGTGGACTGTACCACACATTCGCTCTGCAAGCCCAAGGTCAGGCCCCACATACAGGGAAAACCACCTCTGCGCTGCCTCCCCCCAAGGACTGCCGGGAGGACCCAGCAATAACAGCAGCAGCAGCTTCAATGGCACACCTCTCATGTGACCAACACATGCGCTTGTAAGTGTTCTAGTATCAGCTCTCCAGTACCCACAACACTAAGTGGGAGGCCCTTCCTTGTCCCCTATTTAACAAATGCAGAAACTGAGGCTCAGAGAGGTTAAGCAGCTTTCTAAGATCCCATAGAAGCAGTACAGCCATGATTCAACCCAGGCAGGCTGGCTCTGGAGGGAGGGCCCCTCCCCAATGCTGCCTTCAATGGGCTTGGAAAATCATTAGCACCTAAGAAAATTTTTTTGAAGATGTAAGCAGGGCAAGATGACAAAAGTGGCAGCCTCCTCTCCTTTTTTTTTTCCTCACTCTACTCCCGTCTAGGTGACAGAGCACGACCCCTGCACAAAAAAAAAAAAAAAAAAGAAACGGAGGCTCAGACAGAGTGTTTCTCATTTGTCCAAGGTCAGACAAAGTCAGGTAAGGTGGAGTAATCTGTACCATCACAGGCTGGGCTTCCTTGGGGACATTAGGCATGAGAGTGCTCTTAGCTAAGCCTGGGCCATTTAAATGCACAGAAATCACTGACCAGCAAGCTGGAAGGATTCTTGGGAATCACCTCGCCCAGTTTCCTCACTTTACAGATGGGAACTGAGACCCAGAGAAGGGAGGGTCTTTCTTAGGGTCAAAGAGACAACACAGAACTAGGGCTGACCAGGCCTCCTGCTGCTGGCTCACAGCCCTTTCCAGTTCCTCATGCTGTGATATTATTCCCATTTTACAGATGCAGAAACTGAGACCCTGAGATAGGAAATCTCTTGCCTAAACCCCTACAATGAGTTTAGTAGTAAAGAGAGATCTTGGGCCTGTTGTCTGTACCCTCTTCTCTCTCTCTCTCTCTTTTTTTTTTTTTTTTT